TTTGCCCTGATTTAATCAACTCCGTACCTCTTACATTTTCCGAGATCCCAATGGTGAGGGTGAATTTGAAACACCCTGCATAATGATGAATAAATATTTGAGTTATTTAAATTTGATAGAATGTACTTGCAAGCCTAGGTCAAAGGTACCTTTTAATAGATGTTTCAGAGTATACTAATCATTTTGAAATATTTTTTGGGATGAACATTTTTTTGATGAAGTACATTAACGAACTTCCAACCCCACACGCACCTATTAGACATATTTCACACAAGTTTCCCCGTAAATATATAAATATTTTCGGCGGTCTATCTGTCGCATTTGCCATTTGTCACGGGATTATGTATTAATATTGGTACGTGATCTGAGCAGCCAATCAGTGCGGCGACATACGAGGTCAACGCGATATTATCTATACATATTAGTGTTATGCTTGGAGTGTATTTTATTGATGTTGTTGGATTTCGTGACGTAATATTATATAGTATAGTTTGTAAGTATTTATCAAGAGCCATTATAATCAGATATCAAACATTGTTGACCAGCAGTTTTACACCACAGCTTCAAAGGAACCAGGCTCGCGTGTACGGATACGCAGCACATTGCTGCCATCTGACAGAATTTTTTCATGAAAAGCCCAAATAGCACCTTACTGGTTCTGACAAAACCTACGTATTTTTGATGTCATTGCACTGCATGGAAAATTGTGCTAGAAGTTTTTTCGAAGGCGTGGGAAGTATACAGGTAATCTACTTAATGCCATTCCCCCCTACTGAGCGAGGGCCGTGGCAAATGCTTGTTCCGGAAGTTGTTGTATCCAGTATACAACTTCTTCCCGTCCAAGTGATTGTGCACGCGTTAAGGAATACCTCAGTACCGATTGCCGGGTGGCGGTACAAGTCCGCCAACGGGCCACTTTAGGTCTATTTAACATCACTAACACGTAAAAAGAAGGTGGTAGACAAGGACCAGTCGACCGAGGCAGTACCACCCGCTAGCTTTTCCCAGGGTGTCTTATAAATGTCCGCATGTTTCCACACCTAAGCTATGCAGTCGGTTATCTACCAAAACCAAGAAATTAATGATGATGGATCCCTCGAGCACTAAAAACTCCGGACGTAAACTCACTCCACTCTCGGAATGTCCGGGTGGAGGGTGGGCTCGAGGGAACAACATCGAAGATAAAATTTGTTTTTCGAACATCTGCGGGATCAACAGCAACATTGATGCTGTTCATCACTACCTGCAATCCAATCGTCCCGCCGTGCTTTTCTTGGCGGAGACAAAAATTTCAGAGACTGCACCGATTAACCATCTCAACTTCCCAAACTACGAGGTGCACTCCAATCTGAGAAAGAACGGGGGAGTTGTGGCTTTTGTCCGCAGTAGTCTTTCCTGCTCCAGGGATCTTTCTTTGGAATCAGACCGGAAGGACATTCTGTGGCTTCGCCTCAACTCCAAAACATCACCCAAATTTATTTGCTGCCTTTATCGCTCTCCATCGAACCATAACTGGGATGACCTACTCGAATACCTCGCCGTCCAGATCGACTTCCTGAACATCAATCACCCCGCTTCAGAGGTAGTTCTTCTCGGTGATTTCAATGCCCATAATGAGCTTTGGTTGGGCTCAAATAAGACCGATGCAGCAGGTCGTGCAGTCGAAGCGTTCGCTCTTACTCAAGGGCTGACCCAGCTAGTGACGAGCCGTACTTTTTTCCCCCGCGTCTCGTCACACGCCAGTAGCCTGCTGGATCTCTTTCTGACCACGCATCCTGCCCCTTACAGCACTGCTGTCCTGTCCCCCCTGGGTAACTGAGATCACGGTGTTGTGGAGGTTAGGTTTCGGTCAGAAGCCGCACAGGCCGCAAAACTTGGCATTACGGACATGCCGACTGGGAGAGGCTCAGAGACTTCTTCTCTAGCTTTCCTTGGAGAGATGTCTGTTTCACTGACGCGGATGCGTCGACTGTCTGTTCTTCAATAACCGAAATTATCCACGTCGGAATGGAGGAATACATCCCTCACACAGTGAAAGTTCCTAAACCAGGGTCCAACGGCTGGTTCAACAAATCGTGTGACACTGCTCGCCAGCAGAAGATCAAGGCCCACAGAACCTACTTACAAAACCCCACTGTAGAGAACAGACAAGCCGACGTCGAGTCCAGAAACAAATATAACGAAGCGGTTCGCAATGCCAAAAACCAGCATGATATAAAAGTTAGGCACAGGGTAATGTCGCAGCGCAATGGCAGTCGGTCTTTCTGGACGCTGGCCAAGCAGATTGAAAAGAACTTCTCACACAGTAGCCTTCCACCACTTACGTGTCAGGATGGAACTATTGTATTCGACTCAAAGGCCAAGGCGGAAGTGCTAGCCAAGATCTTTGCTGCCAACTCCACCATGGACGTCCCCACCAACGCCCAAGTGCCGTCAATTCAAAGGGTTCCCCACACTATGCGGGAGGTAACATTCAGGCATAAGACCGTAAGACGAGTGCTCTTGTCGCTCGACATCAACAAAGCTTCTGGTTCGGACTTGATTCCTGCCATTGTACTGAAGAGATGTGCAGCGGAGCTTGCTCCAGTTCTTTCGCGTCTCTTCCAGATATCCTATGAATCCGGCACCTTCCCAGAAAACTGGAAATTTGCTCATGTACAGCCCATCCCAAAAAAAGGATCTAAAATCGACCCTTACTTAAAGTGATGGAGAGGTGCATAAATCGCGAGCTTCTGGACTACCTCGAACGTCACAGCTTGATTAGCGACAGACAGTACGGTTTCCGGCACCAACGATCCACAGGGGACCTCCTAGCTTACGTCACGCAACTGTGGAGTAAACTCATCCAGTCTAATGGTGAGGCTCATGTCGTTGCTCTTGACATCACGAAAGCGTTCGATCAGCTGTGGCACCTCTTAAGCAAACTTCCATCCTACGGCCTCCCAGAAAAGCTTTGCAGATGGGTGGCTGACTTTATCTCTGGCCGCAAGATATCCGTCGTAATTGACGGATTCTCCTCTTCATCCCACAACGTCAACGCGGGTGTTCCCCAGGGATCGGTCTTGGCTCCAACACTGTTTCTCTTACATATCAACGACCTCCTTTCCTGCACGATAAACCTAATCCACAGCTTCGCTGATGACAGCACTCTACATGCAGGAATTCAGAGTGACAAGCCGATCTCTGCCGCTGAGCTGGAAAAAAGAAGACTAGCGACGACTTCTTCTCTGACAAGAGACCTGGAGGCTATCACAGCTTGGGGACGCAACAATCTTGTACAGTTCAATGCTTCCAAAACACAGTACTGTACTTTGACGAACAAAAAGCGTCCTAGCGCTCATACAGTTTCGATGGACGGTCGAGTTCTACCAAAGAGCCATTCATTTCGGCTGGTCGGAGCCCAGATCACCGAGGACCTGATCTGGCACGAACACATCTCTTCAATAGCTGCAGCAGCAGGGAAAAAGCTAGGCTATTTGTTTAGGGCTAAGAAGTACTTTTCTCCGCATGACCTTCTCACTCTATACAAGGCCCAGATAAGGCCTAGCCTCGAGTATTGCTCACACATTTGGGGTGCTGCCGCCCCGACTACATTGTCCATGCTCGATGCTGTCCAGAGGAGGGCGGTCCGACTGATCGATGACTCTTCTCTAACAGACAGTCTCGGGACTCTTTCGCACCGGCGGGCCGTCGGCGATCTAGCTCTTTTCTATCGCTACACCAACGGGCTTTGCTCCTCAGAGCTCTCTTCCATGATGCCGCCGCGCGATGTGCCTGCCAGACAGACCCGCCTGACCTCGGCGTCCCATCCTAACCGTGTCAAACTTCGTACATCCAGAACTGGCCGATACGACCGCTCCTTTGTCCCGAGGGTGTCTAGATTGTGGAACAATCTACGGGAGGAAGCTTTTCCCAGTTCTACTAACCTTAGGCAGTTCAAAAATCGTATTAACAAAATTTCTTTGGGATCATCATAGCAGCCGCGGTGTTCCGGCATTTAGGCTTCTGCCTGCGCGGCTGTTTCGATATGAAAAAAAAAAACTTTTTAAGATATACTAAACAAGAACCAGGGAAACAATTTCGGCATGCCTGATCAAACTTCGCCCATTTTCAGACATCTAGCGTTTCTTACTCTTATATGAGCGCATGATCGCAACACTTTCTACTTCAAACCTAGAATAAAATACACAGAGACACAAAACGTGTATAAAAATGAAAGTGTTGGAGCACATTAAAAACAAAACTTGAAGACTAATTGTAAATGCCTTATTGACTTGTTTCAAGTTTGTTTTTAGTGTCAGCGCAGTGAAGCAACATTTTTATAATATGTTTATATATTTTTTGTCTTAGCATGTTTGATTATTTATAGATTTGAAGTACAAAGTGATGCGACCATATATAAGAATAAATAAGTTAAATTTGGGCGAATTTTGATCAAAAATGCCAAAATTGTGAGCTTAGGACTTCAAGGAAAAACTCCGGTACTAAAATCTAATGCATTTTGGTAAAGAACAATATAAGTTAACGAACCTGTTGCATAAATTGTACTATTTGCAACATTTTTTGATAACGCTTTTAATTCTTTTAAGCTCCCAGTATTTACTTAAACTTTTTATAATACATTTTGACAGAAACATGAAAAATAATCATACTTTAGATTGTAACTTGGGTCATTTCTAGTTACTTCATAAAGAATACCAAAGCTACGAATGACCTAACTTTACCTTACTTTTATTGTCTGGCAATTTTGCAATTAAATATACAGACTACACGAGAAATGCCATAAATCACATAAAAGCGATGTTTATAAAATATGAATTAGTTCAAATAACCACAACAAAGCATATCACTAATCAGCTGTTTTATTTTGTCACGTTTTGCTGTGAAGAAGTATCGTACATATACAAAAGCCTCAACCTTAAAAATTCGTAAACAGCGTTGATCTTCGCCTTGTGATACACCTTCATCATATACGTAAACTATATTCCTTCAACTTTTGATTATTCCACACAACATCTTTGTGCAGCACTCACAACTACCTTCAGGATGTACCCTTTCGACCATTGATCTTGATGCTTGGCTGTTTCATTACACTGCCCTTTCAAGCTTTCTCTGTTCGATCTCCAATCCGGAATTTGCTTCTGAGAGATGTTTAAAGAGATAAGTATATATCAAGCAGATACTGAAGATATTCATGAATTCAGCTCCTTACAGAAGGAATAACAGCGACACTCTGATAGCGATGGCACAGCCATACTAGCAGCGTATCATCCGGAATTCGTACTGCGTCGCCACATCGTTGTCCCGTTTGATTTGTGCGGAGATGTTGATGTCCTTTCGCCAGACGAACCATCAGCAGCTCGCTCTTCAACTTCGATCCAGCCATTACCAGAGTGCCAGCAGTGGCGGATACAATAGTGGGACAAAGTGTCTGTTTCTAGTCGGTGCGCTTATTAACCTCACCGAGTGCTGGTATTTTGCACAGTCCTGCGCTAGGTTGTCTTTATCTCTTTTTCCCATTTTGCCTTCTGATTTACTAACCAATGAATGGAAATACCCACAAAAAAAATTAAAAACAAGTTACAAATCCAGTTTTATATCAACAAGTAGTGTGAAGGGTGAAGTTATATATATATATATATATATATCCGCAAAACGGAGGAAAGTGGATTCGAGAATAGGATAGGTAACCCGAGCGATACGTATTTCTGCTGGTTGGCTTCATCAGGCCCGAAATGAATGCACATATGAAACTACAAAAGTAGATACACATGCCCACACATCCGGATACGGGTGTAACCTGAGGAAACGAAGTTGGAGGGGAAAAAAACGACACACGAAGTCCACAACAAGAGCCAACCTACACATTGTAGTATAAAATGGCTATACGACCTCGAATTTTCAAGGAGACGTCTAACCACCACCACGCGGCCGGTTATAGCCACTTGCTGTGGTACTTCAAGCCCAAAGGATCTACAAAGAGATTTTTCCTACTTGTTGTTATATACCTTCCTCCGCATGATCATATTCTCTTTATATATATATATACTAAGTGACATATAAATCCGAACACCCAGTTTAAATGGTTTTATTTTAATAAAAGTTGGTGAATGTATTTATCTTACTGTAAATAACAAGTGAAAAAATTTTCAGCCTTATCAGTTGGACATTCCGGTTTTTATACTGCTTTTTTAATTCACTAACGCTCTAAAAATGAATATTTCAGCCGCAGTAAAGAATCAACGTTGGCGGATTTTGGTTCTTGACATCCTTTACGATCGGTTACGATGCCTAGAGTACGGAGATCTGTACGATTTCGTCAACTTAGTGACTTTGATAGGGGCCGTATAGTGGGTCTTCGGGAAGCTGGACTTTCTTTTCGGGCAATTGCAGTTAGAGTGCAAAGAAGTGTAGACACTGTGGTTAGGTGTTGTCAGGCATGGCTTCGAGAAGGCCGTACGCAAAGAGCAAGGGGCACTGGACGCCGCCCTGGAACAACAGACCGTGAAGATCGCCGCCTAAGATTATTGGCCTTAAGGGACCGTTTCTCCACTACCAGGTCCATTGCAAATGAATGGTTTGCAGAACACGGAAGACCTATTGGCATGCGAAGTGTTTACCGACGAATGAGAAGTTTTGGCTTGTTTTCATACCGGCCACACTGGGTCCTCCCTTTAACTCGAGAACACCGACGTAATCGCCTTGAGTGGTGCAGACAACAGTCACTCTGGGATCAGGAATGGAACAGTATTGTTTTTAGTGACGAGTCTCGATTTTGTTTAGGCATGCACGATGGTCGTGCCAGGGTTAGAAGGCGACGTGGTGAAAGGAGGAATCCACAGTTTTTTGTTGAAAGACATTGTTGGAGTTATGGTTTTGGGTGCTATAGCTTATGGTTCCAGGTCACCTTTAATCTTCATCAGAGGTAACATGAACGCGCAGCGTTATATCCACGAAGTTCTAGAACCCCATCTTTTACCCTATCTTGACACCCTGGCAGATCCAACTTTCTAACACGATAATGCCCGGCCACATGTTGCAAGAGTCACAATAGACTTCTTTCAACATAATGATGTCACATTGTTACCATGGCCACCAAGATCTCCCGACTTATCCCCAGTTGAGCACGTGTGGGATATGATGGGTAGGAGATTGCTCAATTTGCAACGTCCTCCTCAGACTCTAGAAGCACTTCGAGAGGAGTTGGTGGTTGCCTGGAATGAGATACCACAGGAGGACATTGACCACCTGATCAGAAGCATGCCTAGGCGCGTTGGAGAATGCGTAGCACATCAGGGTGCATCCACACATTATTAAAGGTCAAAGGGCTTTAAAGCAGTGCAATCATCTTGAAATTTTTATCATTTACTTATTATGCTTCATTAAGTACTTATACAAAATTTTATTAAAATAAATCCATTTAAACTGGGTGTTCGGATTTGTATGTCACATAGTATATATATATATATTTCGGGTGGATTGATATTTTTCACATTTAACGAAGGTCGTTTTACAACAAACCCAATGTCCCCGTCCTTTTGTTTTTTATAATGATTACAATTTCGATCTTCTCTACGTTCGTTCTGAAACACCTTGTGGCTGCAACCTCACCGACGAGTAAGTTGTCTAACAATTTAAGTCTGTCCTGTTTTCTTTGCTAGCATCACAATTGTGTTCAGAATCCTGATGAAGGCTCCATAGAGAATGCCGAAAGCTTGATTTTATCGTCAAAAGCGTCAACTTAAGCCTAAGAGTTTTTGCCAATTTTCCCAATTAACAATTAATTGTATATATATATATATATATATATAAACAAAAAATAGGAAAATAATAGGCAAAATCCGCAAAAAGAAGGAAAGTGGATTTGAGCAGAAAATAGGATAGGTAACCCGAGCGATACGTATTTCTGCTGGTTGGCTTCATCAGGCCAGAAATAAATGCACATACATATGTAACTACAAAAGTAGATACACATGCCCATACATCAGGATACGGGTGTAACCTGAGGAAACAAGATGGTGAGGAAAAAAATCACACACGAAGTCCACAACAAGAGCCAACCTACACATTGTAGTATAAAATGGCTAGAAGACTTCGAATTTTCAAGGCAACATTTAACCACAAACATGCCCATTATTTTCCTATTTTTTGATATATACACTTTCTCCGCATGATTATTTTCTCTTTCTAGATCCTTTGGGCTTGAAGTACCACAACAAGTAGCTATAACCGGCCGCGTGGTTGTGGTTAGATGTCGCCTTGAACATTCGAAGTCTTCTAGCCATTTTATACTGCAATGCAGTGTACAACAGTCTACAATAGGTTGGCTCTTGTTGTGGACTTCGTGTGTGATTTTTTCCTCACCATCTTGTTTCCTCAGGTTACACCCGTATCCGGATGTATGGGCATGTGTATCTACTTTTGTAGTTACATATGTATGTGCATTTATTTCTGGCCTGATGAAGCCAACCAGTAGAAATACGTATCGCTCAGGTTATCATCCTATTTTCTGCTAAAATCCACTTTCCTTCTTTTTGCGGATTTTACCCATTATTTTCCTATTTTTTGTTACGAGATTACCTTTCTCCGAATGATCATTTTCTATACATATACCGAGTGTCAACGAAAGCGTTTAACAAGACATTCTTCAATTGTTGTTTAAATAAGAACCTTGAAATTTTGTGTGAAAATATCACTTATAAAAACTCCATCAAAAAACAACTGAATAATGCTTCCGGTTTGACTGGATGCAGAATCCTTAACGTAAAAGGAAGTGAAATATTCACAATAAAAAAAAACGAGTGCACATAAGACATGAATCACAAACGACATTAGAAATTGTAATTTAAATATTTCTCAACAGAGTAAAAACATTGATAGAAGATGATGCACTTAATTTGTTGTAAAAAAATAGATGCAATGAAGTTATAACAGATACATCTAGTCTATAACGTCGCAGTCTCGGTGCTCCAGCCTGACTTATATTATAGTTGTGGATTTCTGCTTAGATTGTGTAGCAATTCAAGATTTCATCGATCTGTGGATTGTTTACAGATTTTTTGAGTTTTGTCTCTATTAAGTTTTAAGCAGTTCGCCGCAAACCGTCTTTCTACTTGAATTCGGTGTCTGGTGTTGGCAATGAGCACAAACAATTTATTGGGGATACATAATGGAATATACCATTCAAATATATCACGAAAGGTAAAGGCCCTAAAATAGAGCCTTCCAGTACACCATATTCTGTTGATCTATAGTTTGATTGTTCGCCATCCACAGATACAAATTGATTTTTATCCAGTATGCAACTGTCAAAGAAAGGCTCTAAACTTTTGTATGAGTATCTCGAATAATTTAGCAATTATGATGACATGATATGTCACCTGTCTTGTGTACAGGAATTACTTTATTGATTTTAAATGCTTCTGAACGTTTTTGACATACGTATTTCAAATTTTATGTCAAAAATGACGTTTACTGGCCCTAAAATAATTGTACATATCACCTATGTACTCGTAGAACACTTTATTGCTTAATTTGGATTGATTTTCTGGTAAACAGGGATGTAGTTTGATAGACTTTGTAATGATATTTCGATAATTATTTATACATGGTGGTCAAAAAATTAGTATAAAAATTGAATGCCAAAAATTGACAAAAGTCGATTTTTTTAAATGAAAACCCCCTATTTTTATAAGTTTATCGCATCAAGCATTAAAAACGTAGCGTAACTTTATACAGGTTTATCAATCCCAAAAATGTTTACTTTTCGAGTAATTTGCAATTTATTACTTTTCTATTGTAAAACTCCTACAAGTACAGATTTAGTTTTTTAATTAGTTGACTATGACGGCGGTACGCCGAGAATAAACAAGCACTACAGAAATATCACTACGTCTTATTTTAAGCTTTTAATAATATAATTAATGATTTTCAGGTATTGGTAATCAGAATAATATAAAGACTAATTATGATAAGTATGCTAGAAGATTTCCAAAGAAGCACTCATACAGTGAAATGCAACAGGAAACAATAAGCTATTTCGATGTATATTTATTTTCATACTATTATAAAACAAAATTAAAACATAACAAGGAACAACTTATTTTGGTAATGTTAAAAATGACCACCCCTAACTTCCAAA